ACCTGGGGAACTTCCTGAAAAACACTGGTGTTATTCTCTACTTTCAGAGGTTCTCATTTAAACTGCCTGGGTGGGGCCTGGGCATAGGTATTTTAAGCTTGTCAGTGATTCTAGGTATAACCAGGGTTGAGAACCACTGACTTAACCAAAGGAATGTAGCTCCAACTTGTGCAACAGGATGAGGCAACTGGACTATTTGGAGGCCTTCCCAGAACTATCAAACTCTTCACCTGGGTCAGCACTCCCATCCATTTGTCACCTGCTTCCTGTCCAGGTGGGCCAAGGGTGATGGGATGGCTTTATCCCAAGCTTCTCTTCCTGATTTCCTGTTTGCCAATTCGGTGTGAAGTGTGGCCCCTTTAGGACCCCAGTGGCATCCTCCTCTTTTTAAGCACCAATTATGCTGGGCCCTAACCCCTCTCTTCAAATAGTTAATCATAGCTGAAGCAAGCAATGACCGGGTGCACCGGCCTCTAGGGAAACAAGGAAGGGGAGAGCTCAGACGGGCTCCTGGAGGAGCAGACCCTTTGTTAAAGAACCATGAGAGAGGCGAGGAACAGCATGGAAACCTTGGGGAATGGCAAGCAATTCGGAGTATCTTGAAAAAGTGTGGGAGGGGGAAAACGAAGGCGAAGGCCAAATCAGAAAGGTCTGGAAGCTAAAATAAGGATTTTGCACTTGCTGTTGGTAGTAGCAGGGAGGCTCCTTAAGCAGAGACATCAGCTAACCAGATTTTGCATTTTAGAAAGGGCCTTCCGGTCTCCGAGTACTAAGGAGAATCAGCAGCAGGATGACTGAAATTTAGGAAACCAGCACTCACCTAAAGCTGAACAGAGGGAAATAGCCCACTGGACCGGTTTTAGACTGGGGGAGCTTGCCACAGATAGCCCTAAGACCAGGACGCTGCCAATTGCTCCAAGTGTTTCAAATGGAAGCTTCTTGACATGGTCTCTGGTTAGTTTGCCCTGGATCCACAGCTCCTGGAGCACAACTAGACAATTTCTGAGGCTGACTTGAAAGGCTTTCCCAAGTGATCAGAAGCTCGGGCGTCTGGGTCTCTCATTCAGGTGTGGGCACTCAGTGCAGACAACTGTGACCTGGACCACGGATGCAGCCCTCTCACAGGCCACTGAAGACACGAAACAGGCCAGGATCCTGCTCCATACCCTCTGCAGCACCACCACGGGGTCGCAGTCTTGAGGAAATCAAGTTTCCTTAAGAGTCCCCAGGACCCAGGTCTGTTCATCACACCTCTGACACACCAAGTTGGGTGCTACTTCCTCCTACCAGGCCCTGAGGTCCCACAACGCCATGTCCCTTCCTCAGAGCCCACCTCTAGGGAAGCTGTGCACACACGTGTTTCTGTGAAAAGGAAATGAGGTAAATACCTGTCTGACCCATTCACTGGCCAGCTAAGGAACACTCTTTATTTTGAGCCAACCAGACCAAAATGGGACCAAGGAGAGTGTGCATTAGCTAGGGAGTGAGGCCTGGCAGGCCAACTGGGTTTTGACAGAGGAAGCCTTTGCCAGAGAGAAAGAAATAGCCCTAAGAGCAGGGTAGGAGACAGTGCTATCCTGTGGCCTTTTTGGGTTGGCTTCTGGTTTGTTTGTTTTTTTTATGAGCCACTGAGGGGCCATGATACCAGCAATACCAGCCAACAATCTCTTATCAGGACAGCGTGGCGCTGGAGGAAACCCTTGACAGATCTAAGTCTCTCACCACCCCAGCTGAGCAACTCAACCAAAAGTATTTGGCTGTGCGAAGCCTTCCCCCCCAACACACACAACCTATCCACACCACTGACCTTTCATCTCAAAGGCCCATTTCGTGGGATTAACTTGATGTGCAAAATTCCCTTCAAAATTGTGAAGCAATTCAAGTGTTTTTTTTAAAAATGCTTTCCCCCATTCACTAAGGACATCATTCTGTCTGTTGTTATTCTCCAGCCAATCTATCTTCCTGTTGTTGCTACAGATAAAACTATTTTTAGTTTTGCAACTGGCTTGAAGGGAGGTTTTGTTTGTTTGGTTTTTTTAATTTCACAACCCCTGTTGGTTGGCATCCACAAATGCCTCTTTGCTTATCAGCTGACAGAAATTACTTTCCCACCAATTTTCTTCTTTGGGACATGATTTCAGATAAGAAGGAAGTACAAATTGTAGGTAACAGCCACGGAACAAGGGATGACCAGTGACAGTCTGGTCTGGCTACACCACCCCGGGTGGCTGACTCAGAAAATTCCCTACTCAATGTCAGCTGTCACCACCATTTCTAGTTGTCTGAATAGCTGGACCAGCACGGCCTGGTTCTCCCGCAGTCCCTAATTTGGTAAGCTCTTTGGAGAAAACAGATGCTATTTTGATCACTAGCATGTTCTTGTTCAAGACCATCACCTACGTGTGGTTCTGTGGTTGAAGCATCTGCCTTTGGCTCAGGTTGTGATCCCAGGGTCCTGAGATCGAGCCCTGCAACAGGCTCCCTACAGGGAGCCTGCTTCTCTCTCTGCCTGTGTTTCTGCATCTCTGTGTCTCTCATGAATAAATAAAATATTTTAAAAAAAATAAAAAACAAGAAAAACACCGTACCCCACTTTAACAACCATCACTTTGTATGATAGTAGTCTGTGACAATAACTGCCTCCATAGGGGTGCCTGGGTGGCTCAGTGGTTGTGCGTCTGCCTTCCGCCCAGGGCATGATCCCGGGGTCCTGGGATTGAGTCCCACGTTGGGCTCCCTGCGGGGAGCCTGCTTCTTCCTCTGCCTGTGTCTGCCTCTCTCTGTGCATCTCTCATGAATAAATAATAAAATCTTTAAAAAAAAAAAAAAACCTGCCTTCATGGGTACAGTGGACCCCAATGCCCAGCCTTGTATCATCCAGAAGGATATCTATACATGTTGTTTAAAAAAAAAAAAATCAGTCAACAGATCACATCTTCCCACCTTGCCCCCCACGCACATCAACACAGACAGGACCTGTGGCATTTGCAAATCATGAGCAGAGGAAATCGTAAAGGGAACCTAGGACTTCTTTCCTGAACAGGTATGCTAGTACCTGTGTGCTCAAAACAGTCTCAGATGGTCTGATTCAGGTCCCTGACCTCTCTAGCCCAAAGTACTTTGGTTGTCCTATTCAAAAGGCAGAGATGCCTGGGTGCCTCAGGGGTTGAGCATCTGCCTTTGGCTCAGGGCATATCCTAGAGTCCCAGGATCAAGTCCCACATCGGGCTCCCTGCATGGAGCCTGCTTCTCCCTCTGCCTGTGTCTCTGCCTCTCTCATGAATAAATAAATAAAATCTTTAAAAAAAAAAAAACAGAAGGCAAAGCCTTTTCAATAGTCTGTCCATTGTGCCATTTACAACTAAAAAAATACTTGAAAGTAAACATATGGGAAAAACAATCTACAGAAAGGCAATGTAGTGTACTAGTCACATCGGCATCCACTCGCTCTAGCTGCCCATCTCTGGAGGGAGACTTGACACTTTCATGCAGTCTGGTCCTGCGCATGACCCTATCCAGGCTCAAGGCTGGCTTTTCAGTGACTTCATTCTTTCTCAATCACAACTGTGTTCCAACTGAGCACAATTTCCATAGAAAAAAGGCAAATGCCTGTCTTAGAGTAAGACAGACTACATATAGTTGGAAACTTGCTTGGCCCTGATGTGGATCTTGCTTTATAAAGCTAATGACTGGGACGCCTGGGTGGCTCAGTGGTTGGGCACCTGCCTTCACCTCAGGTCATGATCCCAGGATCCCTGCTTGGAGCCTGCTTCTCCCTCTGCCTGTGTCTCTGCCTCTCTCTCTGTCTGTGTCTCTCATGAATAAATAAATAAATCTTTAAAATATATATATAAAGCTAACGACTGGACAACCAGAGTTCTGTCAGCTGTACGTGTCTGGCGTACACACACACACACACACACACACGCACACACGCCCGCACCCACTCCCCGCAGAATCCATCGCTTCGCCCACACCCAAGAGTAACGCAATGCCTTTCTTCTAGAGCTAAAGAAAGACAGCACATAAGGCCACCGCTTGTCACTTGGCTGAGGTATGGAAATACAAACAGGATGTCCACAAGACTAGAAGTCCGGAGTGCCCAAGAGGGTCCTGGCTCGGACTTAAGCACCTGTTTAAGCTAAAACTTGGGGAACATGATTAGAGAAGTCTCAACCACAGAAAAGAGGCACCAAATGATAACTATCACGAATACTTTGAGGAATGGATGAACTAAAAAGCCAGAAGCCAAGGCGCTGGCAGTGTGCTGAGGTGCTAATCCTGGAAGAGATACCAGAACGGGGATGATGCCACCTGCTTGTGCCTAGCATCCTTCACTGAGCCCCTGGAGAGGTGAGGGAAAACGCAACAAGAGGAACAGCGACAGACAGAGCGCTTCTAAAGGGCAGCCTCCCTGGACATGGTGCCCAGGGCTTCCAGGGCTTCCAGGGCTTCCAGGGCTACCCCTGCTGCCACACTGTGCTGCACTGAGATCAGAATGAAGAAAGCGGTTTGCACAAATCCAAGCCCCACACCACTGGGCTCCTGGAGGGGGGCACGGAGGTGGCCAGCTGCTGATCTCTATGTTGTAAGGAGAAGCCTGCACCTTGGCTAAACTCACTCCAGAGTCACTTACTCTATCAGCGGTGGGGACGAGTGACCCTTTCTTTTAATCGCTGAAAGGAGGCAAGTTTGGGTGTTAAAGACATTGATCACGTTTGAGTCTCAAGTAGGGGCACTGCAGGAAAGCTTCCCCTTTGCTGTTCAAACTCATGCCACCAATAAACGTGGCCTGACAGAGGAGGCAGGAAGGAGAGGAAATTTCTGGGAATTCCACAAAGTCCCCTAAGCCCCACGAGCCCTTGGCTGGACGTTGAGAGAAGGGTCAGGGCCGGCCGGAGCTGGGTCCAGGGTCGGGGCACCGAGGCCGGGCGGGTCCCGCGCGTCCCCAACGCCGGACCCCGCGGCGGCCAGGCGGCTCCCGCCCCCCGGGTACTCACCCGCCTGCTGGGCGCCCTGGCGCCGCCGCCCGAGAGCAGAGTGACGGTGGACGTGGAGCGCAGCATCCCGCGTCGGCGGCCGGCGGCTGGCGGGCTGCGGCGCTGCTCCGGCGGAGAAAGCCCGCCCAGCCCGCCCTGAGCGCGGGCGGTGCGGCCCACAGCGGCTCCGAGGCGGCGAGGAGGGCGCGGGGGGCGAGGCGCGGGACCTTAGCGGCTCCCGCGGCGGCCCGGGGGCGGGGCTGGCGGGGGCGGGGCCGGCCGGGGGCGGGGCGGGGCCGGCCAGGGGCGGGGTGGGTCTGTAGCCACTCAGGCAGCGGCGGGGCCGGCGCGGGGGGCGGGGCCGGCCAGGGGCGGGGTGGGTCTATAGCCACTCAGGCAGCGGCGGGGCCGGCGCGGGGGGCGGGGCCGGCGCGGGGGGCGGGGCCGGCGCGGGGGGCGGGGCCGGCGCGGGGGGCGGGGCCGGCGCGGGGGGCGGGGCCGGCGCGGGGGGCGGGGCCGGCGCGGGGGGCGGGGCCGGCGCGGGGGGCGGGGCCGGCGCGGGGGGTCTGTAGCCGCTCCGGCTGCAGCGGGGCCGGCACCGAGGGGCGGGCGCGGGGGGGCGGGGCCGCCGCGCGCCGGCCCGACCCGTCCGCCTGCATTTTCTCCCCGAGGCGCAGACCTGGCGGCGGCGGCCCGCCGTGTCCCCTTCCCGCGGCGCAGCGCCCGCCCGGGGTCCGTCCCGGGGCGGTTGGGAGCTCTGGACACCCCGGACCTCTCCTGCCTGCGGGGTCAAAGTCCACCTGCGCGTTCACCCTCAGGCTACTCCTCGGCCCACCACCAACCCGCCTGCCCCAGAAGGCTTCCCACCCCCCTCCCCGCATCACTGGATCGCTCACCCCTTGCCATTCATTCAGGGTTTATGGAGTGCCTGCCCTGTGTCCCTCCCAGCAGCCAACCCAGTCTACTAGCGCTGTCTGTCCTCAGGAGGTTTGCAGTCTGGTCGGGATACCTAGAGGTGGCAGGTGTCCGTGCTTCCGTGGAGGAGGAGGAGGTACCAACGGGAGCACACCTCAGGGCCCTAGGAGCTGGCCTGTGCCGGAAAAGGCCTCCGAGGGGAGGTGATGACTAAGCGAACACCTGAAGTACAAGCAGGAGGAAGCCAGGCATAGGGTGTTTATCACAACTGCTCGTATTTATTCAGCGATTACTGTGGGCCCACCTGGCCAGCACTTTGCATATATTACCTCATTTAATCCTCGCAACCACCCTTTGAGGCAGGCACTATTAATATACCATATCCCCATCTTGCAGACAAGGACACTGACTCACCAAGAGATGAGTAACACAGCAGAAGAAGCCCCACCAGCAGGCAGGGGCAAAGCTAGGCTGGATCCCTACAGTCTGACCCCAGGGCCTTGCTTCTCCTCTCTGCTGCACCCCTCCCCTAGCAGAGGGAGGGGCAAGGAAGTTACGGAGCAAAAGAACTGGCATTTGCAAATATGGGCACAAGAGAAGGTACTATATTTTAGGTACTGAAAGTATCACAGTAGGAGGAGCACTGGGAGGAATATTGGAAGAGAAGCAGCAGAAGGATGCTGAGCCAGATCATGAAGAACCTGGGGCACTTAGCTAAAGGGTTCGGCCTTTATCCTGCAGATAAAGTGTCCTTCAGCAGGGAAAGACAATCCCTCTCTACCTACTCTTCAAAGCCCAGGTCAAACACTGTCTCCCCATCAAGCTCTCCAGGATCCTCTTTCCCTGAACACTCACAGTCATGAACCTAGCAGCATTTTGGGGTCTTGCATTCTGTTAGAGTCATCTGTGTGCATGTGTGTGCCTGTGTGTGTCCCCTTCCCCAGTGGTGATCTTCTAGAGGGCAGGGGGCAGGCCTTGCCCCTCTCTGAATCCCCAGTGTGGCACCAACGTGAAAGATGCTCAAAAATTGTTGCTGGACAGAATTCCAAATGTTCCTATGAGACTCCGTCATTCTGTGGATGAAGAAACTGAGGCAGAGTGCCTAAGTGTCCCAGAGTCACTGAGCCTATTGTCCTCACCACCACTGCTGTGCCTTGCATTCTAAGGATTCTGTGTACGTTTTCTCATCAATTTCTCACCTTGACCCAAAAGATGAATGCTGTCATTGTCCTTATTTTGCAGGTGAGGCCCAGGGACATTAGGCTAATTGGTGAATAGACTGGAACTAGACCAGTGTTCTAACTTCAGATCTACTGCTTTTATACTACCCGCCCATCCACCCACCCGAGGTCATTCGTGAAAGGTCTCTTTATATCCTACTTCCCTGCAGCCCACTCTTCTTCAGAGAGTTTTGTAAAACTAAAAGTTGGGTCTGCCTTTCAATAAATAGTGGTCAAAAAGTGGCTGTTGAAAGCCAACATAGGTTAAAAATATCTGCACGGTTATCTCAGTAAAAAGAAGCTAATGATTATTGTTGTTTTGTTATGTTGCCCTGCGGAGAAAGGAAATGGGGTGCCATTCAGACAGAGCCAGAATAGCCTGGCATCATCAATGTTTATTTATATTATGGCAACCACCCAAGTGACCACCCAAAATGGAGTCAGCGCTTGAAAGGAAGTGTGGCCCATAGATTAATTTTCCCTCCATCTACCCAGGTCTTTTTTATATTGTTAATATAATATTTTCCACACTGTGTTATAGTTTATGGCAAAAGCAGCAGACTGCACACCAGCTTGTGAGCTCTCTGTTGTAACTGGATCATGTTTACATCTCTGCCTAGAACAGTAACTGGCAGGTTGCAAGTGCACACTAAATGTTGAATGGATGAAGAAATGATGTTTGAGAGCAATATTTCAACTCACTCAAGGTCAAGCAAAACAGAAACCAGGATCCTTGCCAACCTGGCTTCTAGGGTGGGCTAGGGTCTGGAAGCAGTTGGCCAGCTGAAACAGAGCCCCAGGATTATTCCATCTGGGAAAGTTCCACAAACTGGCTGTCACTAAGGGCTGTGATTGGACAGATGCCACAGTCCCTCCCTACCAGGCCAACACATATGGAACTACAAAAGAGAGGAGAATAGGGAGCCCCCAGAAAGTAGGAAAGAAAGAGGACAGAAAGTAGGAAGACATTTTGGGATGGGGAAACCAATGGAAAGTGGGTCTAAAATGAAAGGAACAAGTCAAAAACAAAATCATAGTCACGAGTTTCTTTTTTTTTTAATTTTTTTTTAATTTATTTACGATAGTCATACAGAGAGAGAGAGAGAGGCAGAGACACAGGCAGAGGGAGAAGCAGGCTCCATGCACCGGGAGCCTGACGTGGGATTCGATCCCGGGTCTCCAGGATCGCGCCCTGGGCCAAAGGCAGGTGCCAAACCGCTGCGCCACCCAGGGATCCCCATAGTCACGAGTTTCTATGAACAATTCTGAGACAGAAGATGGAAAGGAAAGACTGACTCCTTTCAAAAGGAGAATCAAAAGTGAATGCTTCTGCCCCAGTCAGATGCCCTCCACAGTCTATGGAATTAAAGGGTTGGGTTGAGCAGATGGCAGAGTGATAAGGATAGGGCTCTGGTGTGGAAAGTCACCCTGTTTCCTTTCAACATTGCTCCGGTCTACTCTGGGCCCACCATGATCCTTGGTGACCAAGTATTACTGCTATTTGGGCTAAAGGGACAGGAGCTATGACAGGGTGGCCTTAGTTGCCATCGTTCCCATCCACAGTGATAATCACACATTCCTAAGAGCTGTCCTGAATTTCTCCAGAGAAGCACAGGTCTATAGAAAATTCTAGATGTCTGTATAGACACTCTTTCTTTACTTGAAATCGATCACTGAATTGAACCTCCTTCCTTCACCCTACTTCTAGAATTCTCTCATCTCTTCCCAGCCTCTGCTTTCAGAATTGTCCTTGTGGCTCTCTGCTGAACACCCCCCAAAACTCTCTATTGGCATCTTTAGTTGAGGGGCCCATTTCTCCAGCAAAGTCCTGAGCAACGGAGACTATTGTTATTTCTTGGCAGAACCAACGGGAAATTGAATCTCCGGACAGGGACACAGGGTAGGTGAGCCCAAGCAAAGCCAGGCTCCCTGCTACTTTGTGCCCTCCTCATTCTTATGTCCCTGAAGCATAGCTTTTCTTCCTCTGCCATTCAGCTGTCACAGTCCTGACATATTCTCCTGTTCTGAGTACTAAACAGAGACTAAACTTTCACAATAAAGGATGGACACATCTCCAACCCAAGGACAAGGGTATTGAATTATAGAGCCCCTTTGGATAAAGTAGAACAAGAAACACCCCATATTCGTGGGGCATTGGAGAAGAGAGCAGGCCCTAGAGATAAGGGAAGCAGACTGAAAGGAACCCAACACCCTGGCCAAGTCACCCAGATACACAGCGTTTATAAACCTGTCTAGACATGGGGCTGGAAGCTGCTGCGGGCCCACTCTGGGGAATACAAGCTCATTGCAAATAACCCTGCACTCACCAGTTAGCCCGTGAACAAATGAACTACTGGCAGAGTAATAAGCCAATTCATTGAACAGTTACGTAGCAAGTACCTACTGTGTGCCAGGCACTGGGACACAGAGATGAATAAGACAGCTCCCATTTTCTAGGTGTTTACAATAAATTTGGGAAGAGATATAGGCACTTAGTAAAGTAAAATGATATCTACTGCGTCTACTGCACTCACAGCATTCAAGAGTTTTAAAACACATCACCTAGCATCTCGGTGAGAAAGGCCTCATTCTGCCTCCTATTTTGCAGATGAGGAAATCACACCACAGGAAGATGATGTGACTTGTCCGTGGTACTAATGCTAGTAAGCGGTGTAGCTAAGTAAGCGTTGGCCCGGGCAACATGACTCCAGAGTCCTCACCCAACTGCTGAAATGGTATTGATGTGAGACAAAGAGGCTTTATACTAGGGCCATTAGCAGCAGTGGAAAGGAAAGGAGGGGGAGGAGGGCGGGGGGTGGGGGTGAATGGGTGACGGGCACTGAGGGGGACACTTGACGGGATGAGCACTGGGTGTTATTCTGTATGTTGGTAAATTGAACACCAATAAAAATTAATTTATTTAAAAAAAAAAAAAGGAAAGGAGCAGAGGAATTCAAACCACAGCAAATCAACATAACCAAGCACAAGGTGGAGGATTTTCATGAATTGTAGGTCACCTTAGTGAGTAGTCAACCAAAACCTATATAGATCCTGAGGGAAGGAGGATCAGTACAGGACA